TCCCTCAGGTGGCAGAGGGCTCTGGCTGGTCTCCCCAAGGAAGGTAGCACAGTTCAGCCGGGGCGGGGGGAGCCATGGGCCACCTGCTCCCCTCACCCCAAACCTCATGCAGGCTCCTCAGGCTGGCCCAAGTCTCTCCCACTTTTGCTGGCAGAACGTATGACTCACAAACGTCCCGTGAGGGGGGAACGGCACCATGGCTGGCCCTGAGCTCTGTGTGCACAAGACTCTACCTCACAGACGGAAATACCACGAGTGCCTTTCTAGAACTCTCTCTCCTCCAGGCCTGTGAATAACAGGATTCCACATATAGAAACCACACTGAAGCAGAACCGCGGGGCTCACATCTCTGGGGAGGAGTAGTGGCAAGCCATGGGCCCCTGGGCTGCAGGGCCGCTGTCACTGGGCTCAAGCCCGCGACGGAAAGAGCCAGTGGCGGGTCACCTGCCCAGCCTCACGGGACGGGACCAAGACCTGACAATGCCTTCCCTCCAAGGGGAGAGGACTGGCATCGGGTGGAGTCCAGGTATAGCCTATCCTCTGAAAGTCCCAAGGTCCTTGGAACAACTTAAGTTGCTCAAAAAAGGAGCAAAGCTCAGCATCAGCTCTCCCTGGCCAGGAAGGGGAGCAGTTCTCTATCGTTCCTCCTTGCTGATTCAGCACGCAATGGCCTTAGCCCTGCCCACAGACAGGAGCAGAAGAGCTTCAGATCCTTTCACTTTTAGGAGAGACTTAAAAATCGGTGCTGGGCCTCCCCAGTGGCACAGCGAGTTGAGTGCAGCGCTGTGAAGCTATCCGCAGCCTCTGCAGTGCAGTTTCAATCCCAGCTGGCCGGGGAGATTCCCACATGGCGCGGCAGACCTCTCCTGTTGCGCCTGCTGCTCCCCTCAGCAGTGCTTCCATCCGTCCGCCTGTTCTGCTCCCTGCTCTGTCTCTGGTGATTTCTCTCACCCTCCCAGGCCTCTGGCCTGTACCCCCATTCTTGTATAAATAAATAAATCTTTAAAAACAACAACAACAAAACTAGTGTCTACTCTCTCTACCTAGAACTCCCGGTGTCTGCAGAAATATACAAGCTGCAAGATCAGCACAGGCAGTTTACCTGGCCCCTGCCCCACCTGGTGGGCCCATGGCAACCTGCCCAACCTAACACTGAACCCCCCGCCTGACAGTGGTCACTCGCGAGCTGAGCCGAGTGAGAGCCTGGCAGAGTTCAGAGCGTAACAGCAAAGATGCAAATAAAACTTGATTCCAGCCTCTCTTTAAGCATCATTTACAGATACATACAATCTAGTCTTTTAAATCTGACTCTGAAGACTTGCTAGTAAACTTGGCTTCGAAGGACCAAGTTTACCCGGCTGGCAGCAGGCCCCTGGGCACCAACTTAGGCCAGTGACACCAGGGAGTCTGATCATTCAGAGAGGGCAGGAGAAACCGCAAGTCCCAGCAGCCAGGAAGTCGACGGCATCGCTATTTCATACAACGTATTTCAACACGCCTCGCCCCGTCTCCACTCTCTGGGGAAAAGGGATCTGCTCGCCCCAGAGCTCTTTTTAAAAGGCTGTTCCCTTCCTCTGCCACCTGATGCCCAGACTGTCACCCGAGCCGGCGCCGCGTCCCTGGGGAGTCGAGGCTCCGTGGGCCGAGCGTCAAGTCAGCCTTCATCACTGGCCTGCCCCAAACAGGCACCGTGGGCAGTGGCGGCCACGGCCAGAGCTCAGGCCGGCGATGGAATTACACACCGAGAGAAGCCTCGGAGCCCCTGCGGGGGACGCATCACCACCACGGTCACCTCCGGATCCCTGTGCACGGCTCACACGCTGCACCGGGTGACCCGCCCAGACAGGCCCACGGTGGGGGCATGGGACCCTGAGCTGGCAGCGGGGAGGGAGGCCGGGTCCCGCAGCTGCACCACCAGGTTCAAACCCCGAGTCAGTCACACAGGAGCCTTTGCTTCAACTCCTGGCCTTGGTCTGCTCACCTGTCGAGGAAAACCAGCCCCAGGGCCCGAGGCCAGTGAGCCAAGTCAGGGGGCCAGGAGGGAGGGAGGGGGCACCCCCGCTGGTCCTGGCACCGCACCACCTGCTTGAAGTCGCCCTGGTTTGCTCTTGGACATGGGGAGACTATATCTTCTGAGAACCTCCGCGCCGTTGAGTGTGCTTGGTGCCCACGACCCGCAAACAGTGACCCCAAGTCCAAGGCTGATGTTCCTTTGGGGAAAGGCCTCCCACTCGAGGTCAAGGCCTCAGGAAGAGCTTGGGAGCTTGCAGGCCGGGAGAAACGTAAACAAGGCAATTAAACCTGGGAAGCCCGCCCCGTCAGAGAGCGCTCCCATGAGCCCGGAGAGGCCGTTCTCGGCTTTAAAAGCATCTTTCTGGCCTAAAGAGGCAAAAACATTGAAAACATCTAAACTATAGTGGCTGTCACGGAGGAGAGAGAGAGAGAGGAGACGGGACGGTGGCAAGTCCCTGCCAGGAGGGCTGATTCCACCGCAAGCTGCTGCGGGAGGGAAACGTGGCTCTGGGAGGAAAGAAGGTCTTTCTGCTCCCGCTGCCGAGGAGCAGCAGCCAGATGAGAGGCGGACACTGGCCGATGAGCTGGGATCTGCACCGTGAAGGGTTAAGGACCTGGCGTTTTGAAAAGAGCTGCTGGACTCAGAAGCAGAACTCACTCCAGACAGGAGGAGGAAACCAACAACAAAATACCATTTTTAAATTCAAGCTCAGAATGGAAGACAGTCACCAGGCTCATCTTCCTTCAAAATAAAAAACAAACAAGTATGACTCCAGGTCCTTTATCTGCCTACAATCTTAACTATCCCCCCTAACCTACATGAGTCAAAAACCTCTGGAGGGGGGCGGCCCGCCTGCCTTTCCGCCTTGTTTTGCCATCAGGAAACGCCCTCTGACCCGGCTTCCGGGTTTGCGCCAGGGAGGCGCCGACCCCCTCCCAGCACAGCGCCTGGCA